AGAGATCGTATCGCGATAATTCAAATACGATCGATATCAAATGTTGTGTTCCACCTAAGTGGTTTCGAGAGAAACGCGCGATATCAGATAGAATATCGCGATAGAAATATCGGGGGCGGTATCGCGACGATTCATCGTAAAGCGATTCCGAGTTGGCTCTGACGAGCGATTATCTCGCCGGGGAAATAATCGGGCAGCGATCATTTCGGCACATTCGAGACGGTGGACAGGTGCGTCGCGCGATTGCGAATGAAAGATTAATTACTGCCGGACTAATTAGTTTTGCGATTGCGGCGGGGGATACACGCTCGGGATCGGGAAAATTTATAGCCCGTCCGGTGCGGCGCGCGCTCCGCCGAGCGTAAAACGCGCTCGCAATTAAAAGTAGGTAACCTCGAGGCCCCCTGTCGGCTCTATTGTCGGCCTGTCCGGGTTAGAGCGCCGCTCTTCCGCGGGTCATTCGTTTTGATTAGCCTTAGACGATTAATTGCTTTCCTTCGCAAGCCGCACGGAAATTCGGCGAGGCTGTTGTTTCGCGGCCAATACCATAAATATCGGTTAACGCTAACCGTGGTTTAACTGATTCTCCATTCCTTTTTTTCGAGAGATAAAGGCATAAGGCGAACATGACGTAGGATTAACCGAAATCTCGGTTGACCTTAAGTAAAATTTATGAAAGCGACTTATAACGCGTTCGTAAATTGCGGAAGAGCGTTGCGAGCAATTTTGAGTTTTTATTATTTGTGATAATCGTCGATTCGATTATCGAATCGTTTAATTAAAAATAATTTGGAACGTAAATATTTTTTAAAAAGAAATATCTCTTTCTATCACCTTTTATACTCGAGGTACTATGCGGCTCCGATGCTCAGACATTTTCGGAATACTATTTTAGGTGCGGCGATGCGTCTTGCTTTCGCAAAGCCTCCCTCACAATGACGAGAGACGTTTCAGACGCGTCTCTCTGCTCGTGACACTCTTCTCGGATATTTCTCATGCCTGTTGCGTGAAACTCTCCTCCTCTCTTGTCTCCTGGCAGCAGCCTCTCCTTCGTGCCGTCTATCAGAGCAGAGAGTCGTGACGGCACAATAAATGCGAGTACAAACGACGA